GGCCAGTCAGCCAGCTACAAATCCATCTGGTGGTGATGCTGTCTAACCCACATTTTTCTATCTTATCGAGTAGTAAGTTGTGATCTACTTTACCAAATATCTTCCTGAAGTCCAAGTAAATTATATCCACAGCATTCCTCTGATCCACTAATTTTGTCACTTGGTCAAAGAATGCAATAAGGTTTGTCTGGCTTCTCTTATATGTTAAAGTCACTGGGTTATGATCTGAAAAAGTCTTTGGCAACATCTCCATTTTAGCATTACACCTAACGTGCTTTTTAGAAATCCAAAATATTTCTATATGAGAAAGCTCTGTGTCTTTCAGAAAAAGAAGTGCATTTGTTACAGTCACCATCATCTCCTGCTGAAATAGATTCTTATTCCAAGTTATTATAACTCAATGTTTGATCCTCTTTTTCTTATACATGTTTACTGTAAGCAATTTTTATCTTTTCAAATAATGAAATACCTTATTTGTTTTTTGAGCAGCACTCTCCCCATAGCAGTGTTCCAGTATCTGAGGGGCTGCCACATGGCAGAAGGGGCCAGGTTGTTCACCAAAGCACCAGAGGGAAGGACGAGAAACAATGGTTGGAAACTGATCAAAGAGAGAAGCAACCTAGAATAAGGAGAAACTTCCTGACAGTGAGGACAATTAACCAGTGGAACAGCTTGCCTCCAGAAATCTTGGGTGCTCCATCACTGGAGATTTTTAAAGAAAAGATTAGACATTCACCTGTCTGAGACAGTATAGGTTCTCCTGCTTGAGCAAGGGGTTGGACTAGAAGACCTTCAAGGTCCCTTCCAGCTCTATTCTATTCTATTCTATTCTATTCTATTCTATTCTATTCTATTCTATTCTATTCTATTCTATTCTATTCTATTCTATTATTTTTCCAATTAAATTGCTCTCTTAATCTCTTTTAAATTTTTATACTTCAAATCTTTTGTAGGTTTTTTTTCTATTAGTTGCTTTTAAGTCCTTACAGTTATTTCTTTAGTTTTTATTTTAATCTTGTTCTGGGCGAAAGAAAAACTCATAGGTCATTTAGTTGCTTTATTGCTTCAAAGATCTTTATAACATTTAGAGTATTTGTAATCCAAAGAGGACTAGAAAGTGGATTTTTGGGCAAACCAAGTGCATGCTCTACATGAGGCTGTAAGCTTGATATTTCTTCCTTGGCTCTTGACACTCCCCTTGTGAGATCCTGTGAAGCTTCTGAAAAGCAATTAAACCATTTCCAAAGGTGATTAAGAAATGAAGTGTGGGGATCTTTTTGTCAATACATACTACATTGGTTGAAATCCCTTGATTCATAAGCTGAACACAGAACCTCAGTTCCTGAAGTCCACTCATGAACAGCAGTTGTCTGGAGCATATATGGGTGATCTTATGGTCTGTCCTTTTTCTAGAAAGACTTTGATGGCCAGAACCTTTTGGCTGCTCATCTCCACCGTAATGCTGTCTCTCCTTTTCATGTGCTACAAATCCTCACTGGAAATACCCAAATGAACATTTTCAGGAAAAAATAATAGACGTAGATCAGCATCTAAAATGAAATTCACAGGTGTTATGTTGACTCCTTTTAACTTGCTCAGTAATGTAGTTTTGCTTAAAGTAGCATCTCGTGTCACACATTCTTGTGATAAGCATCCTTTACAAAGTTATATTTCATTATCAGGATAAAGCTTATAAAATGTTTGTGTCCACTGTACAGCAGTCATTTTTTTAGTGAAAAAATATCTTTCAAGTTGTTTCAAAATTTCATGAAATCACATCTGATGAAAGCTTTGAGAAGGGATAAGCCATCTGTCTGAACATATAAGTCAACAACAAAGAGATATTTGGGAGTTTTCCAGTATCTCTTGGCATTTAAGAGGTCTGCAATCATGTCCTCCTCTTCACATAAGAGTCAACTATCAAACTCTGCAAGGCTGGCAAGCGCAAAATACAAAAACCAGTTGGATTTCTGGAAAGACCTTTATTGCTGGTAGGGTAATAGAATTTTGAAACAAATTATCCTGGACAATGTATACCTAGAGTAATTAAGGCAGAGTTATTCTGAGTCTCTTTCTCATAGTCTCCCCCTCCTACCAAATCTTCTTAACAGCTCTGCTTCTCCTTTTACAGTAAAGTCTTGCTACCTCTTTGTGTTCAAAAGTCAGTTAAGTCAGTCATGGTCAGAGTTCTCTTCTTTTTCTCTGCATTTACACAAGCCCTTAGTCAACACAGCCACTTCCTTCGGGTACTTTGATCGACACACAGATATTCTCAGAGTAGTATCATAACCATGAAACTTTCTATCTTCAGGAAGAAAAGCTTTCCATTCACCACCCAAGTTGTTTCATTTCTCTGTTGCAGTTTCTTGTGGCCAACCAACAGTAGGAAAAGACAAGGTAGATTAGCCCTCAAAGTAATAATGTTTTGGGGGGATATTTCTTAAAAGATGCTTCAGAGCACATGGAGGCACAAACAATTGCATTTGTCTGCTTCCAAGCAACCAGATCTTTCCCTGGGATTGCATGGCTTTGAATCCAAAACACTGCACAGTTTCCCTCAGGCTGTGGATGGAATATATAACAGACCGATGAAGTTTTAGACTTCTTCCCTATCTACCTTCTGTAATATGCAAGCATGCTGTATGCACATGTGCATCTTTCTTTCCTCTGCTTAGTTTTCTTTTCATTCTTAGTTTCATCTTTCCCACCAAATAAAATTGTGTTGGCATTTGTGATGCCACCTGTGTGAAGCTCAATTTTTCTTCAGTTGTGTTTTCTGGCTTTTCCTATTTTAATAGGATTTTAAATCGCATGATGTTAAGAAGATCGATACCTCTGTAATGGAAATCTGCAGATACTACATTAATAATAGAAATGATGGACATGTGCCTGTCCTCATAATTTCTACCTGTGCTTGGAGATCTCCATTGGAGTTCCTGTTCCAATGCCATGACTGAATGGATGGCTGATAGCAGTTTCTTTTAGCTGTATTTATGCAACTATGGAGTGCCTTCCTTAAAAAAGTCTTCCTAGTTCCTACTTGGTTGATTTTTATTTATTATTCAATTTGGTTAGCCACCCATCTTAAACTAGTCACTTTTTAAATTTTCTCACACCCAGTAAATTGTTATATATTGGGTTGACCAGAGGTTTTTTAAGATTGTTTATTGGAAATTATTTCATCTCCATAGATGTTTTAAACCATTTAAGTCCTTGTTTGTGTTTAGTCTTTATTCTTGTACATTGCCTTTGAGGTTGCTCCTGATTTGTTTGTTCAATTGGAGGTTATTGAATTTGACTTACATAAGGTCATATTTTGCCACAAGTTGATTCATAAGCTAAAATAAATAAATAAAATGAGGTACTCAAATCCAAGCAGACATGTAAAATAAGGATTATATGATCTATCCATGTGTTATTTTCTTCACCACAAAATTTGTGTTGCTAATGGATTTGATTTCTGTTTCATTTTAGAACACCCTCCAAATTCAATTTTGTGGACGATGGTCAAAAAACGTGACCTGGTTAAATGGACATCCACCACAAGATGGCGATAATGTCATAGTAGAAAGAGGACATATTTTACTATTGGATACTAACACAAGCGTTCTTAATATGCTTCATGTCAAAGGTTTGACTTTTTTTTATCAATCTTTTTTTCAGGTGAAGGAATTTCATTGTTAGAGAAACCTGAAGGAGAACACTAATACATACTAAATATATGAAGCACTGGGAAAATCCTTTCTTGCTAAACTTTACTAAATTATATTTATTTGCCATTCCTACCTGTCTGTATACACTCACGTCCAGCCACAGACAAAGTAACAAGATTCAACAGTAGCAAAAGTAGGAAAAGAGTATCCTGCCTCCATGGAATTATTCAATACTTTCTTGTTAACATCTTTGCACACTTACATACAAAGATTATTATTATTATGGATCATCGCACAGTCAGCCAGATGTTCAGACTGGATTTGGCATTTTGTCTACCTATCGAGTCCTTACCAAGGACCTGGGATAGGCAGATGTGGATGTTTGATGGTATTACAGATATCGTCGCAGGATGGAAGCAGTTCCTAGTAAGGCCACCTTTTGCAATTGACTAATAGCGAATTTGTCAATGCCAATGGTGTTCAAGTGGTGCTCCAGTTGTTTTGGGATTGCACCCAAGGCGCCTATTACTATTGGTATTATTATTATTATTATTATTATTATTATTATTATTATTATTATTACGATGTATTATTACTGCTATAGTAATAACAATAACATTATTGTACTCAGGTTGTTATAGAAGAACATGGAACTGATTACTGACAATGTTGCTGATGCATTGTGATGACTGCTCTGACTTTTATCATATCAAATTACCAGGTTTTTGGATCCTAAGATAAATAGAAGGGAAGTAAAAGACAAATTCTGATAGTTCTCCTTCCTCCGATCTCCAAAGGCCACACTAGAGTCTTGCTGTCCCCTCCTGGTATAAGAGGAAAGATGGAATGAGCTGGAAGAAGGGAGGACAACACTTTCTAGTTTGTGAACTTAACTAATTTATGTTCCAGTTTAAGCCAATGTGTTGAATACAGTAGAATCCATAAAATTGGAGAGGACCTTGCAGATCATTAAGAGTGTTTTTCTGCTATGTGTGGGAAATCCAGTGTAAGATCATTCCAAATTGTAGGCTATGTAGTACTGCCAACACCCATTATCTGACTGCTTTGTTTTTACAAATAACCTTTTAATATTCAACCCTGTTCTGCTGTTTTATTAAACTCATTTAACAGCAGCAAATCCCCTTTTCTGTATTTCTGTATCTGAAAATTGTTCCTGCATTTCAGGAGGACTAGTTAGGATCTGCCGATATCTTCTTAGGCACATTAGTAACATTATCTGGATAATAATTGCTATATCAGTAAAACATTAAAATACATTAATATACTGGTTGCAGTGGGGTATGTGCCTTCTTCCGTTAAGAATTTCCAAGTATGCCTTGATAAGATTTTTGTATAATGGAGGAAATCTCTAAGTGCTTTGCACTGTTAACTTTAGGAATGCATAACGGCTCATGAGAGAGATAATATTTTTTTACTGGCTTTCTGAAAGATATGTAAAACACATTTTTCAGACGGTATTATTTGGATGATATAGCCATGTGAACTCAGGAAAGCTTGCCTTATCAACTCATTAAAAATAGCCTTTTGAACACAAAAAGGCCTTAGGAATACAGGAATGGTAACATTACTGAAACAGTCTTAGTTTCAGGCTAAATAAATTAAAGAATCTACTTCATATGCTCTTTTTAATTCCATAATGGAGACACCCGTATTGTATTCTGAAGCAACTATTTAAGCAAACTTACAATGGAGCTTCCATTAGAAGCAAAGGTATTCAAGATTGTTTTAAATTACGATGTTGGACTTTTCACCTAACCTGCTTCTACTTCTTAAAATACGGTTGTAGTACCTCCCACTTGGCAATAGTTATTATCTAAACAAATAACAAAGGGAGCCGGGAGTGGTGATGGTGGAGATGCAGGGAAGGGGAGAGGAGACAAAGGAAGATGTACTAGCAACTGGGCCAGAGATATTCAAATGAGCCACAATCTGAGCTAGCTCACAAATTGTCCTATAAAACATTATGATAATGCAGTTCAAAATGAGCCTCGCCACTGGCAGTGTGTCAAGTAGCAGGCTGTGCACCAAATGGGGCATTGCTGAAGTCACAACATCCACCCTTGCCCCATACTGAGAGATTTAACTTTTATAAACAAAAGTGGGGTGTCAATCCATGAGAATGGAAGCTGTGCTACAGGCAGGCCGACTCTAACCTAGCAGAAAGGCTGTGCAGTGTCTTGCTAGTTCATTTACTTTTATGGAAAAGCAATGCTGTTCATTGCCTCAGAAGGGTTTCACTTGAAAGAATAATAAAACCTTTTAGTCTACCTTTTTTTTTTTTTAAAAAAAGTGGCAGATAATAACACCACAGCAGATCAAAACAGTGAATAATACATAGAGAAATGCATGTAGAAAAAACTGCTATCTTATCACCACTGATGCCTTAACTCATCATGGAGAAACTGAATTTGGCAGGACCTTGTGCATGTAAGTTGCTTCCCCCTCTTTTATTTTAGATAGGGATATTTTAATAAATGAAACTGGAAAATTAGCATTGAAATGAGTTCTTTTGTCTTCATCTGCTGCTGCTTGGAAATAAACTGCTGTTCCAGACAGAACTCTTCCTTCCTCTCTTTAGCTGACAAACTATATCAATATTATTATATATAGCTGTATTATATTTATATATTTCGGGATACCCAACCCGAAAAAAGTCCTATAAACTATAAAAATGCTCATGTAAACTTTGATCTGAAAAGCTGAATGCTTTCACGATTGGATTTTGTTGAGATATTACTATCACTTTTTAAATGGCCATGGCATGCTTCCAAGTGCAGAATGTGTGACGGTCACAAAGTGGACCTATCGCTTGTGACTGTGGCTTCCATTTGCTCCATTGTCTTTTTGTCACTTTAAGTCCCCATGCTTCCACTTCAAAATGCGACTAGATCTAGTAGCTCCATTAATCAAGGGAGTGATCAACTGCCATGGTGTTTGGTCTTATTCGACTTTCTGTCTCACTGAAGCTTGTAAAAAAAAGTCCACATGGGTAAAAATAGGTTTCCACAGCAGCTGTTACCATTGCTGCTGATCCTGCCATCCATAAATGCCTGTATGCAATGGTCATAACCTCTCTTCCACTCTGGCATTTGCTCTCTTTGGCAAGCCTAGCCACAATTGATGAAGTGCAGCAAACACAATGCTGCTTCGGTTTGGTTCACGTGGAGCCGTTTTACTCCAAACAAGATGCCGTATTCAAGCTGCTGATTAAATCACCATTGCTTGGCACTGGCCCTCTCAGGGAAGGGTCCAAGCAGCTTGCAGGAGAGCACATGCCATCAGAACAGATGGGCATACATGCAGATGGCCAAGCAGCATCGGCATCAGTTTGGGGAGTTTATTTCTGACTGAGAATGCTCAAGCAGCTGCCTCCATGCAACTCTGAGTGGGAAGAAGGCTTTGATCCAGAAAAGTGCTTTCATACGCTGCTTGACTTTAAGCACACATTGAGTTTCATTAATCCTAATGAGAGAACACTTGCATGTTAAAAATGCAGCACCCATTTAAATGCCTTGATGAATTGGGAACTGGAATTGATACTGTTATTGCATTATGAATGTGTGATTGATTTTTTTTTGGGACTGATTGTAATGCAAGACTTTCTAGGGACTGCCTTCAACAAGTGTATGATGTTAGACTGGCTGGTGGTATGTTGGTATTACTAATGAGAAATGTGTGATGCTTTCATAGTCAGGTTGGCAGACAAATGTTCATCGTGTTCTTTTTACTTGGGGGTCTGTCTGCTGCTTTCTTGTAGACGTTTCATTACCAAACTAGGTAACATCATCAGTGTGAGAAGGGAATAGGGGGTTTGCTCTCATTTCATATTCCAGTGGCTTGCCCTATCAGTGTTGCTGGGAGTAGTCTTGGTGGTTCCTTGATTGTTTTTACTTTCTCTGAAATTCCCCATAACTAGATTTGTAAAGTCCTATAAATAAGAATTTATAGGAATGACATGCTGAATATTTCACAGGAAGTTCAGTTTCCTAATTATATCGTTAGGTTTCTCTTTCAATTCCTACCTCTTGTCAATTATTCCAAACTGTTTATATTCGGGTACTATTTCTATGAATATCTGATGGAAGTCCTTACTCTTATGATCCATAGATCTTCTATAAGCATTTTTCTTGGACTACATTCCCTTAGACAGAGACTGCCTCATTTCTTCATCTTGCACTACTGTACAATGGATTTTTAAAAGCAAATTTCTAAAAGTGTTTTCCCCCCCTTCTTGTTAAAGAAAGATTAATTTGGCTAAACTTTTAGTGGAACCAAAAGGGCATTGCAGTTGCCTGTTAATATATTTTGTGTATATTTTGTGGCTATTATGAGCAGCATTAATATTGGCTATGTCGGTAATGCCAAAATGACATGAATGAGAAAACAAAGTTTAAATGGAAGGAGGGAGAATTAAATGCCCTGTCCCGTTACCGCTGCCTTTTCAAGGATAATAATGCATTTCCTGGTAGTGCTTCATTGATGCTGCATGGATTCTAGGTAGCAGAGAATTCATCTTGGTCTATTCCCCTACCATCAAATGATCAAATGCTGTTACAATCCAAGGTAAATCTTCTCTGTTACTAGAGATGACACCTATGTTTGATATCTTCTGGGAAGTTCTAGAATGTTTCTTTTAATCTCCTTCCTTAAAAAAAGAAAAATGATGGAAAATATGTCTCTTCTTACTGTACCAAAGTGATATACTTGAAATTTAAATTATATATTTAGTTTGGTTGGAAGACCATCATAATTACTGTAGGTGGAGTTCATTTTTATTTTTCAAGATTACCCGACAGCTATGTAGGATATTCCTTGCTTTTTTGGGTAGCCATAATAAACAGTAAGAAAGGTTGGAGCCAAATACTTTGATTAATCAGCATTTATTATTCTCTGCTCATGGGAAACAGATCAAGTGCTATGAAAACAAGAAAGCAGGTTGTGTGTATGTATGTTTATCCTTGTAGAGTAAAAGCTGCATATTTATTATAAATTAATAAAGTGTAGAAAGGGATGAGTTCAGAAGGCTGGCAGTTGAGACACATTATATGTCATTTACCTGTTTAGATAGAAATGCCTGTAAACTCTGAAAAATGTTATAATTAGCTTAACAGACTGGAATGTAATCTTTACCTGTCATAGCAATTCTTTCTGTCTTACTTTGCGGATATCTTTATCACTCAGGCTCTAGCTTCCTCTTTAGTAATGTCTGGATTTTTCAAAAATGACAGTGAGAAAAAAAAGTGCCCACTGGGGAAAGAAGAAATTAGATTTTTAATATCACTTGAAAAGAATATTTATGATTGTACTTTATCACATGCATTGACATTGCCTGTGTCAGCTGTTGTCAGAGGTCTTCCATCCCTAGGTACATGTTAAAAAATGTGTGTTCACAAGTATGGCTAGGAAGAAATTTGAAGATCTTTCCACTGAAGTGTGACAGTGACATAGAATTAATCTTGCTCTCTGAGAAGTGCTACTTTGAGACACCAATTTAGGGAAAGTTTGCTTAATTCTCATTGTGGATCAATTTACTCAGCGTGGATCTTACATTCTTAAGGAAATAAAAATATTTTTGTGTGCTTGCAAATGATAGGAGAACAATCATTAACTTTCTGAAAGGAGAAATACCTTGTTTAACATATTGGTTTCCCAGAATATGGATTGCCACAGCAATTCAGAACCCAAGAAAATGGAAAACAGAGTTGGAGCAGAAACTGGAACAAAGAAAGTCATCTGTATTTGCCAGACTATCAGTCATGTTAGCCTGTTAGGGAAAACAACTATGAGGCCAAAGAATAGAATAAGAGTAAAAATGAATTACTTTTTCAGAGAAGTAAATCACAAAAAGGATCAAATCAGGGATGTTCAGGGAAACCTGAAAGACTTGGTGTATATGGATTACCTATAGGAGTTCAAATTTAAAACGTAAGTGCAATGAAATTTCTGAAGCTTGGGTAAATACAATACAGAAGACAATGCCTTAAAGTTTAAAGCAATGAATAAAATTATCTTAAAGTCCAAACTATCAATCCTTTGATCATATAATCTTATATTAGAAGGAGAAAGTAAGCTAAAGTCAAAAAGGAAAAAAAAACAGAATCAGAACATTTTGCTATTTTCTTACTAACATTTTTTTCTTCTTCTAATGTTACATTGAGAATATGTTCTCCAGTTTTAGGAAACCAACTCTATTTTCTTCACTGTGAATGATGTTGCATCTTATAACTGTTCACACAGTTACTGTTATCGTCACTCACTTTAGGTGGCAAGCTGGCATTTATTGGCTCTGGATCCCTAGAACTTCATGCTCATTCCATCCTTGTGTCCGATGGAGGAGAACTTCAGATTGGGTCTCCCAGGAAGCCATTCTGTGACATGGCCCGTATCCATCTCCATGGAAGCACCTACTCCGAAGGGTTTTTCCCATATGGAGTGAAATTTCTGGCTGTGAGAAATGGAACCCTTTCCATGCATGGTGAGTTATATAGAAAAGATTTTGCTATCAAACTGATATGCCTTTTGATAATCTTCATAGTTGTGGTGAATATGGGTCAGGTTTAATGGAAAAATAACGAGATATTTAGAAGTGCTTAGCTTTCACAATTCATACTGCCAAGTTTTAGATAGATAGATAGATAGATAGATAGATAGATAGATAGATAGATAGATAGATAGATAGATGGATAGATAGATAGATAACCTTTATTGTCATATTTTTTAATTGTGGGCACAACGGCACACATTAAAAATGAAATTTAGTTGCTTGCTCTCAAAGTGTATGCATATATAACACACATTTAAACATACTATATACAACATATGTATAGACCTACACCCTTACATATAAGTAACATATAACTATTAATAACTGTCCATCTTGAATACATAACAGAAGGAGGAAGCTTTAGAGTTCACAAGGTTAATACTGTATGGCATAAAAGTGTGACTGAATCTGGATGTTCTGTTTTGGACACCACGGAGCCTTCTCGCATAAGGTAACAAGGAAAACAGGTTGTGAAGAGGATGTGTCGTGTCCCAGACAATCTTGTGGACCCTGCTCAAGCATGTCCTGGATGGGAGGGAGGGGACTGCCAATGATCTTTTTGGCCATCCTCACCAGTCTCTGCACCACCTTCCTGTCTGAAGCAGTGATGCTTCCAAACCAGACTGTGATGCTGTATGACAGGATGCTCTTGATCATCCCCCTGTAGAAAGTGGTCAGGACAGGGGAAGAAAGATGTGCTTTTCTCATGCGACGCAGAAAATGCAGGCGCTGCTGTGCCCACTTCACCAGTTTCTCACTGTTGAGCGACCAAGTCAGCCTACTTGTTAGCTGCACACCCAGGAATTTGATGCTGGTAACCATCTTCACAGGTGAATCATTAATGCACAGAGGAATGTGGCTGTGCCTGCCTTTTCTGAAATTGACAATGATCTCTTTGGTTTTTCCAGTATTTAAAATTAGGCTGTTTTTCTTTCACCAGTTCACCAAACCCTCAACTTCCTAGCGGTAAGCACCCTCATTGTCATCATGAATAAGGCCCACTACTGTTGTATCATCTGCAAATTTCACAATATGGCTTGTGGCAAACCTAGCACAACAGTCATGGGTCAATAGGGTGAACAGCAGTGCACTTAGGACACAGCCCTGAAGAGAACCTGTGCTCAAGAAAATGGTGTTAGAAATATTTGTTCCAGCTCGCACATATTGGGGCCTGTTAGTAAGAAAATCAAGAATCCAGTTGCACAAAGGAGTATTTAAGCCTAAAAGAGCAGAGCAAGAAACAAGTGGCCCTCCAGATATTGCTGAAATTCAAGGTCCATCAAGTTAAACTGTGATGATTAAGGGAAAAGGAGACTGCTGAGAGATGCTGTAGTAGAAACAGTCCCAGAAATTTTGTTGCTAAGTTTCAATGGATAGTTGACATGAAACTGTGGCATGATTTCAGAAATGGGTCCGTCAACCTCCATTTAGGTTTACAATATCAGTTGTATCTACCACATCTCTTCTTGGCCATTCTGCCCATCAGCCTATGCTCCGTCTGAGCTCTACTATAACCTGTTGTCAGAAACATATGCAGAATCTTGCTCTTTTCCTTCTTTAGAACAGCAACCTTACAGTATGGGTACAGATTTCCTTTTGTAACTCCCTGCTGCTGTTCTGTCTAACCGTCCATGAAGTATATTGGAAAGATACTTTGTAGTGGATTTGAATCCAGTGTATTAATAAAAGTGCTAACATTCCAAGTTAATAATGAAAGTTTGACTGGATGGAACCATCCATAGCAATAGTAGCTTTGAGCGCAGGACAAGAGAGAAAACAGGGATCTGTCAAAGAATCTAGTCATTTTATTTTGCTGCCACTGTTTGCCTTTACTTTTTTTTTTTTTTTAAAGTGCTGCCAGTTTTAGACAACCTATGGATAAATAAAAAAAGTCCACTGGGTGTGTTTTTGCAAGATCACTGTTATGTGTGTTAGGGAATCTCCACGAATGTGTGTTTTTTTGGATTTATTCTGGATGTCCAAAAGTGCCACTTCCTTACCAGAAATTCCTTTATTTAAATATAGGAGGTAGGAGATGTGCCTCTTTATTTAGCATGGAGTGAACATTTTTTTAAAAAAATGTTTATTTAGGATTTATTTAATCTTGGAGGGAATGTTTGTGTTCAAATGGCAGACGATTTGGATTGCGTACTCTGCCAAATAACATCAGACAAAAACATCCTGAATCTGCCATTTCTGAACTTATGGTTAATTTTCGGGTAAAATCAGTTTGTTCAACTAATGCTACATTAGCTGTTACTTACTTATTTCTGTGATTGTGATGCCTTCTTCTGTTAGTGAATTCACAAGCTAAATTCCAAATAATGACAGATATGGGGCAAAAATGGAGCCACAGAAAAGCAGTGTTTAACAAAAAGCAAAAATAATATAAGTGGGTGTGAGAGAAGGCCTAACAGATCTTAGATATATAAAAGAGAGAGGAGGGCAGTTGAGGGAGGAAATGGAGCCTTTAAATGAGATTTTTGAGTCCAGGGGAGGGGTGAAGAACTAGAAAGTGACTCAGAGTAAGCCTACCTTAATTATATTATATATACTGTAAGTTGTTTGGGATTATTTTGCTCAGTTTTCAAGACTCTACTACATTAACGTACCAATAATAAAATCTTACCAGAAATCCAAGAGATTCTTGTTTCTTAAATTTGCTATCCCTCAAGGGCTTGAGAGTGAACTATGCTTCACCCTGACTTTCTCACCTGAACAACAGCAGCAACAACAACCACGAAGCCTATTCAGGCATAGACAGTTGAGGGCTATTTGGAAAAGCAAAGACACACATGGAGTGAAATTATGGCTGTAGGCTGATTATTCAGAGCCTACCACAGTAAATTAGTTGAGTTCTCTGCTTAGAAGGAGCCTCCATTCCTCCATAGTTTGCTGCTTGACAGAGAGAGAGAGAGTTAAAGACCTATTAGAAAGTGAATGAGAATATATGAGGAACCACTTTATCCTAATGGGACTAACCTGGCCCACTCATTTCAGTGGAAAGGGCCTACTTCGGATCCTGTTAGCCAAAGAATTTCAGCTGGCAGGGTCCAGGAGAAGAGCTGCTGTGGCCCCTGCCCTCTGGAATACTTTCCCATCAGAGCGTGAGATCCATCCCCACACTCTTGGCCTTCAGGAAGAGCTAAAAACCTGGCTCTGATGCTTGGCCTGGGCTCCCAATAGGGCCCTGCTACATTGGGTGTGGCTAACAGGATAGAGAAGATTCTCACCCCCCAGACTGCCCAATCATCTTGGTTCTTAACTTTTAATCTTTTTATTCTACTTTTAATTGTGTTTAGCATTTTTAAACTTTTTATTATATTGTAAGCTGCCCAGAGTCGCTGTATTAGTGAGATGGGTGGCATAGAAATTTAATATCTAAATAAATAATAAGAGAGATAGGAGGGTTGCAAAAAGAGAAGTGGTTGTTTGACTCTTACCCTGTAAACCATGCAGGTTCTTGAGAGAACAAAGCTGCCTATGTCTGTCCTAGATATTCTTGTTCACTAGCAAGAATTCTGAATTTTAAATTCCAGGATACACAGAATGTTTTGATGTTAGGTGAGGGTTGCATGCTAATTGGAATAAAAAGGAACTGGCTTCTTCAAACACTATATGATTTATAATAAGCACTCTTGGTTGGACTTTAGTACTGGGGAATGTATACTGTGAAATTGACATTTTTCTTCTTGCACTATATGCCTGGTATTTCAAAAGGAGAGAATGAACAACTTCTTACTTTCCTATTTTTCCCTTCTACTATGTCTCTATGAAATGCTCAGGTTCAAATCTCTAATCCAGTCCCAACAATGAGTTGTCTAGCCCTAATACCAAGCAGCAAGGGAGGGGCATAGGAATGGGACAGAAATAAGGTGGGTTTTCTTACTTCTTCCTGACAGCCCTTCCTCAGCCATGAATTTATAGCTTTGGCTGGTCTGGAACAGTGAAAGAGAACATTTCTTTTATGGGGTAGATTGCAATATTTGACTCTAGTTCCACCTGGGTCTGTTTTTGTTCATTCCCTCCCCCTTTTATAGACAGTGCTTTTTTAGACAGAAATCCTTGGTGGAGAGACAAGCATTTGTCTAGAATTGAGTTGTTTGCATAATGAGCATATTTTGTTGTGCTGTCTTACTTAAAAAAAGCAGATAGACTTTGTTTTCCGAATAGTTCTATCCATTGGTTGCAATGTCTGCAGCTGAGGCTAGAAAGTGGGAAATCAAAACAGCTAAGTTAGGAAGCTGAAGAAAAGAGAGTAGTGTGGCCCTGAGACATTATTGGAAATGTTTCTTGGCTTCAATACTTTGGCAATGATGCCGCAAAGCTTGGGCTTGCTGTGGAGTTATATCCAGTCTGAGCACAATTCCACTGCATGTGGTGAGTACAATTACATTTCAGTATATAAGCCGCCATTTAGTGTGAATGTAGTGGACCCTCTCCCCTGCCACACACACTCTTGAAATAGAGAACGCTTATTTTGTGCCTTCATGCTTCTTACATCAAACCCAAACACATTCGGGAGCCAATTTAGGATCAACTTGGCTTATAGAATAAAACAAACTGAAGTGTTTGACAAAATTTTTTTGTATTTCTGAAATAGTTGTAGCTAGGCACGCATTGAAATCATTAAACAAACAAGCTTTTGAATCATTTTTAGCTGTCTCTGAGTAGACAGAATGGAGCATAATTCCCACTTATTTCCCTTTCAAATAATAAATTTTGCAGGAACTGTTCCATAGCGATGGCTGAATCTGATTGTTTAATAACAACGTGTCAGCTTCTCTGTTTGATATGTTAATATGACTCTGGGTTTTCCCAGAATTCTCTCTGGAGTGGCAGTTTGGCACTCGGGTGGTCAGAGTAGATTGAGAATTTTCACAGTTGCCTTTGGCTTCACCCGGCTCCCCTGCCAGTCAGAGCACAACACC